AAACCCTGTGGGGCAGTTCTCCTCTGTTACACCAGGGGCGCTGTGAGTGGATGATCTATAAGAGTATATATGAGTATATAGTGACACAATAGATGACAGCCTAGGAAACCCTGTGGGGCAGTTCTCCTCTGTCACATGGAGACACTATGAGTCGATGATGTATAATATTGTTGTTAAGAGCTATTGAACTGGTTCCTAGTCCTAGAGACCCCATGTAGGGTTTCTGAGGAGTGGCTGTTGGGTTGAAACCAGCGATCCTGCAGCTCCGCCCGCCCTTAGGGTGCGGTGTTTATCCTACAGTGGCACACTCCAGCATGTAGTGATACAATGGATGCCAGTATAGGAAAGCCAGCTCTGCTGTGTTACACAGGAGTGCTGTGGGTAGGAGTCAGTTGAGTGGGTAACTGCTGATAACAGTGTATAAGGTGAAACACAGCGCTGTGGGAAAGCAGAATTACAGTCAATTTAATATGTACTGCTCTATGATACACCATAGAAATAAGTATTCAATACCCCGGATGTGAACTGTCCGGGAAGCCACCTGTTGGTCAGTAAGGCGGTACTTTATGGACGGAGAAGAGCAGTTAACAGAGCAAAGTCTCAGCCACTGACCCTGCGGTGGGAGGAAAAGGCATGTGGGTGCTACAAAGGAACAGGAAGGCATCATGGTTTCTGTCCTGTGTCTGTGCCCGGTCCCCATCCCAGGATTTCCAGTGACCCCATGCTCACTGTTTAGCAGAAGACAGGAAGCTGCTAAAAGGTAGACAGAGAGAAAGCAGGTGCATCCTGTCTGTGACACCGACTTCCAAGCGCATCCCGAAGGGTCCAGAGCTGGGGAGTGGATGCGAGCTCAGGCCCTTGCTGCATTTGGGATGATTTACATGGGGGCAATTCCCATATATCAGGGGACTCTTCCCTTCTCAGCTGTGTTCATGGGCTATCTATCAAACGAAGCTACACCCACTCCTGCAGGACACGGGAGGATGGACAGCCGTGAGGGTACCACACTGCAGACTAATTTCTTATTTAAACAGCCGGAGTCTCCATGTCTCCCCCTCATCTTGGTGCTCTGTAACGGATTTATGTACGCAATTTCCTACTTTTTCCTGTTTAGAATAATATGAAATATGTGGCTATTACTAAACCTACTTACCACTGTAATCATCTTTCACAGAATGTCATTAAATTAGATTCACAAGGGCCTGAGAAACAGAGGATTTCATATTAACAACAGTTTGGGCCAAAACAAATTCCAGAACCTTCTTCTGTGAGGTTTAGATTTTGTTGGGTCCCTCGGAGCACACGGTACTATGATTTTCGGGCAGCAGGTGCTCATTAAATATTAAACTATGGGGGATATTAGAACAGAGATTTTAATATCCCTGGAAATCTTCTGGGAGATGTGCAGATGGAGTTTGACACAGAGCAGCACAGAACTTCATTAAATGAAAGAACCCATGAGCCCAGGTGTGGAGTGTGTGTTTTAGGAGGGGAAACTTTAGCTGTTGAGAAAAGTTATCTAGCTTACTTGAGTTGTTATAGTTCAAAGTCTAAAAGTGAACGAGCTCAGTTGAAGCATGTTGTTCTTGTTTGAGGCCCTAAAGTTCGTTCTGACTCACAGCAGACTTATGGGAACAGGACGGAACTCTGCCGCGCCCTCACCATTCTCATAATTGTTGTTACGCTTGAGTCCATTTCTGCTGCCACTGTGCCAATCCGTCTTGTTGGGGTCTTCTTCTTTTTTGCTGACCCTCTATCTCACCAAACATGATGTCCTTCTCTAGGTTCTGGTCCCTCTGTCCAAACTATAAGAGGTAAGTCTGGCCATCCTGGCTTCTAAGGAACACTCTGGCTGTACTTCTTCAAGACAGATTTGTTTCTTCTGGCAGTCCATAGAATAGGCAAAGTTCTTGGCCAACATGAGAATTCAAAGGCATCAGTTCATCTCCGGCCTTCCTTATTTACTGTCCAGCTTTTGTATGGCTACAAGGAGACTGGAAACACCAGGACCTGCACCAGCCTCGCCGTAGCTGTCCAAGTCATTTATTTGCTTTTTAACACTTTCAAGAGTCATTTGCAGCTGATCTGTCCAATGCAATAAGTCATTTGATTTCTTGACTGTTGCTTCCAGGGGCATCGATTGTTGATCCACATAAAATGAAGTCCCTGAAACTTCAGTCTTTTTGCCATTTGTCATGATGTTGCTTTAGTGGTGAGAATCTTCGTTTTGTCTATGTTGGGGGCAATCCACACTGAAGGGTCTGATGCTGGCTCT